GGCGATCGACGGTGGTTACGACGGAGATTTAGAAGGCACTAAGTAAACCACACCTACATATGCAAACTAAGTGTTATTTTTGACCTCAAATTGCATATAAATCAAATACTAGCAAATATATTTCCTCCCAAATTAATCACTATACAAAGCATTGCAAGAGTTAATCTAGCAATGAGAGTTGAAAGGACAAAGTTGCTAACCTTTGTGATCATTTGAATGGATGGGGGCCTTCAAATCTTGACAAATTTTGGGCAAATTTTGTGAGGAGCTCGAGGAAGAGAGGGGAAGAACAGAGGAAGTGAGGGGAAAGGGGAAGAACAGAGTGGCTCGGGTGGACGAAGGGTTTATGTACGTCGACCTTTAGTACCGGTACTAAAGGTGCCGGACGGGCCCCAGACTGACAACATCCTGCCACCCATCTCTTTAGTACCGGTTCGTGGCACGAACCAGTGCTAAAGGTTCGCCACGAACCGGTACTAATGAGAGCGGCCGGCTAGCCGTTGGAACCGGCACTAATGGACACATTTGTGCCGGCTCAAAATCGAACCGGCACTAATGTGTCTCAGATTTGCCCCTTTTTCTACTAGTGTCATCTCTAGGGACATATATCACAGGCATGTAGTGAATTCAATTTTCATATGATCAATATAAATAATGTTACATGTGTTTTGGGGACTACATTCTTAATATTATTTTTATTGTTAATTTTATGGAAACTTTGGATGACTCCATTCCTTAGGATTTTCCGCCCTACAGTTCTTTGAATCATATGAATGGGGTTCTAGGAATTTTGGGCAATGTTCAATCAATTGAAAATTTGGATGATATCTAACATAAGTTAGGCCTCATGGAAAAGTTTTCTCCTCACACTCTTGTGTTGCATCCAAAAGACCACTTTTTTGGCAAGTAGTTCCTTCTTTTTCCTATAAAATCCTTCTAGTTCTCACTCACTTACAAATTTTTCTTATTCTTGTGTTTTATAATCCTATATTCAAGAGCTCTAAATATGTTATATGATAAGATTTTTTTTAAAAATCCAAGCACAAACCAAAACATCATAAATTCCCTAAGGAATTACTACTTTAATGTTGAGCCAATGCCAAGCAACCTATGACTCTGAGCAAAAGGAAAAAGAGATAGAACTAGAGGAGTGCTCTGTTTGCTTTTGTTTTAACTATAATGTGCCTTCTCAAAAGATATTATATACTGATCGACAACTTTGTTCCAACTTATAAATCAAGCCGAGTCCCAGGGAGCACAAAGTGCACCGTGAACAAAAAGAATCATTTTGATGTAGACCTCAGACGCTTCTCATTCATGTCTGGAGACTTTATAACTGCGTTCTTGCATTGATGTGGGCCAAAAGAAAGCGTGCACAGCAAGCGAGAGCAGTGATTTTCATGCACTTTTTTTGCTTCCCCTAAGAAGACTTGAAAAGGTGAAGCAACCAAGCATGAAAAGCAGATTCGCTAGCAGGTTTGTTGCCTATATTCAGAGCACTTTATCTGCGCGGCATATGCCAACAGGACCCTGGAAGTTTGCCAGAAATGGTCACTGCCACCAGTGGGGTCGGTAAAGCTGAGTCTGAATGGCTCCTCTAAGCTGGACGGTACGGCCAGAACGGGAATGGCGTTTCAGAACACCACTGGTTCTTTGTTTGTTGTTGCGTTAAGGTACCTCTTTGGTTGAGTAGACACGATGGACGCCGAGCTCGTGGCAATGGAGACAAGATTTTCCTTGGCCTGCATTGGTCGCCCTTTTCATTGATTCTGGAGACCGGTTGTGGGGAGGTCATCATCGGTGGACTCGTCAACCCAAAATACTATTGGAAATTCACCCTCAGGATTGATCACATCAAACTGCACGAACACACGCGCACAAAAATCTAATAGCCAAGGGCCCTTGTCGTGCCCTTATTTTCTCTTTATTTATTTTCTCTTTTCTCTCTTCGTTACAAAACTCACGCCATGGCTGTGCATATATATATGCATCAACAGGGGACCTAAGGGAATCCAAACCTATTCGTAATAGGTTGCACACCACGTTACACACTCGGACACGTACCACTACTTGGAAAGTAAACTGACTAAGACACAGCTAGTAAGCTTACTAGGACTCGGACGCTGCCTAGAACCTGGACGTACTAATCATTCGGCAACCTTGATCACGCTTATACTAATGCTAATTGAACTCAAACACAATATAGTACTATCAGAACGTAAGCATGTTTGTATATATGCACATCCATGGCGTGAGTTTTGTAACGAAGAGAGAAAAGAGAAAATAAATAAAGAGAAAATAAGGGCACGACAAGGGCCCTTGGCTATCAGATTTTTGTGCGCGTGTGTTCGTGCAATTTGATGTGATCGATCCTGAGGGTGAATTTTCAACAATTGGTATCTAGAGCAAGGTTCGAGGGAAGCTGCGCTTGCCCCGGGGTGGCGTCCCGACTAGCGCCTCGGGGCGGGCAATAAAGTCGCTGGTGTAGCGACGACGAAGGCGAGCGGGCCATATAGTCATTGGGCGGTACAACAACGAGGAAGAACGGGCGATCTAGTCGCTGGGTGGTGCAGCGACGTGAAGGTCAGGCGGTTGTCGTTCGGCGGAGCGGCAACGAGAAGGTGGCGAGGACACTGTCGTAAGCGAGGCGACAGGTGATTGTCGTTCTGTGGAATGACCTGGAGGAGGGCGACAGGGCTGTCGTCGGCAAGGCATTCGTGATCGTTGATGGTTATGAAGGTGCCAAAGTTGCGACATCGAGAAAATCATCGAGTTCATCGTTCGGGGGAGCGAGGAAGAGGCGACAAAGTTGTGAGCCGTCGTCAAGGTGTCCACACGAGTTCTTGTAAGGTGCGTCCAAGAGCTCAGGTGTGTGGGTCTTCTGCTACAGTTGAGATGCGTCACTGGCGGAGGAGAATTGCGAGCGAGAGCGGGCGGAAAAAGGAATTCGTGCCTTGCGTTTTCGTTTGTGATCAAGGAGTTCCGGCGAGTTCATATACGGTGAAGTTGAGTTGCATGTATATGGCGAGTTGTGTTGCCGCTGGACGGGAGGTGTCGTTCGGTAAGATGTGGCATCGTCGACACTGAGAAGATGTGAAGATGTGACGGATGAAGAGATGTGTCTCCCCATGCACAAGCAACCGATGAGAAGATGAAAATCAACATGAAGATGGACGCGCACCAGTTAAGTTGAGTTTCTGCATGAGGCTATGCGTTTAGTCTGCATGTAGCACGCTAAGTTGTGGCAGCATGGCTGGTAGTCCGGATGATCGTTGGTTTCAGTCTACAAAAGTCGGCATGAAAAAAAGATGGTGATGAAGTGATGGCCATCGTTGCGAGAAAAGAGAAGTTGTGATCCGGTAAGTTGCGTCACCGGAGGTTACCAGCGTGACAAGATGAACGGATGATCGTCTACGTGTCACGTCGAGTAAAGAGTCAGATGTTTGGATTAGGGGGTGAATGTTGGATAGTCCAACAAATACATCGTAGTATTCGTCGGGGGTTGATGCTATCCGAGAACTTATTCCGGAAAGAGATGTTAAGGTTGCCAAAATCATCCACGAGGCCAACTTAGGGAGGATGTGAAAATGACAGTGTACCGCTGTCAATGAACTCTGAATTGTATACCTACTGCTAGTTTACAGACGAAAAAGGTGTATTTTATCATAGATTTGTTCTCTCTCACACGAGCCTGACTGCAAATTCATTCTCCACAGTTCCCCTTTCACCACAAAGGCAGGGAATGAGTTGTGATCTTCCGGTGAAGATGGTAACAACGCTGCCTCCTTCTAGAATATGCACCTCCCCGTGAAAATCAAAGTGTTCGCCTTGCTATTCTGTAAACAGGCTAAACACATTAAGTTAAACCTTTTAAAGAGGATCATGAGGCCTGTTGGAGCGTACTCCTGTTGCTCGCGGACAACTGAAGACCATCGACATCTATTTTGTGTGTGTCACAAAGTGTTGCGGTTTGGGGCACTACCCTTCATGTTGATTTTTTGCACCTGCTTGCGGTCTTCTCGCCCCACCAAAACTATGTGCGGAAGATTTACCCTCATATTTCATTCCGTCCCATTGTAATTTTGCATAATGTAATCAATGAATTCACTATATTGTCTCACCTGCTAAAGAACCGATTTGAAGGTGGCTGCCTTGTCTTGGTGCAACCACCTCTCTTAGATTGTTGTGAGCTTGTAAACTCTATTTCATTTGAGTTAAATTCAGCCGTGATTGTCTAAAAAATACACCTTATTGTGATGAGAAAATAAATGTCAGAAGATCTTTTCCAACAAAGACTATAAAACCCTATATAGCAGACTAACAAAGTAGAACATAAGAGATAAGTATTGTTCATGCACATGTTGACAAGCTCACATGCACACTATCAAGCACACGTTTTTTTGGCGTGTGTATAAAGCACAAGTATCTACATGATGATACTTCCGTAACCAGAAGGCCAGTGAAAATCACCTCACAGACATCTTCATTTCTTGAGGGGGTTGCCTTCTATTGAAAAAAAGAAACACCAATAAACATACAGAATGTCAAAATCTTCATTTGATTTTCTTTGAGCATAGAGGTCAACCATTTCCACTAATTATTGAATCAATGTTTGATTTTCCTTTCTCTCCATATTTCTGCCGTGTAACAGGATAGCCTGCCACTTCTTATAAGATTGTTTTGATAGGTCATCTACGTATATATTGTGGTGTGACATTGCAGCTTCATAAACAATGCCTCATTTTTGACATTTGTGTAAAAAACTACAAATCCATAATAATTTGTTTGATGTCATGAAAATCATCATGTGTTCAATGCTCAATCATGTATATTCTTCGGTAAATAAGGATATTGCCAAATGGGATCATGCCTAAGCGAGGCACTGATTCAGATCCAACGGCTCAAATACACCCTCTTTGGCTACTTTTTATCAGCCTCCTGTTATTGAGTATATAGCCAACGCACACTCCCTACCCGCTGACCAGCTAGTCTAAGTTGCCATGGCGATTCATATCCCTACTCCCAGCAAATGGAGCCACAAGCACATCATACTTGTGACCCTGATCGGAACCCTGGTCGCCATCGCCATCACGGCCGTCATCTCCATCAGCCTCGCCCCCGCACATATCTACCTCTCTCTCACAGGCATGAAAGTCGGCGGGCCTGTCCAAGATACCAAGTTCTACAGCTTCACCCTCGTGGCCAGCAACAGCAGCCCGCGCATGGCAGTGCTGTACGGCGCCCTGGACGCCGAGATATGGTACAGCCAGACGGCGTGGGTGCCGGCCATGGTCGACTTGAGCGTGCTGCAGGACGGCAGGAGGCAGGCGCCGGGGAATGTGACCCGCATAAACGTGTCAGCGGAGTACTGGCAGTCCGAGCAAGCGAGCAGCAACAAGGCCGAGGATCAGCCGCACCCCAGCGGTGCGGGCAGCCCCCCGCCGCCGCCCGCCACCAGCAATACAGACTGGACAAATTGCACGGTGGTGGTGATAGCCAAGGTGTGGTTCGATGCCGGATGGATCGGCACAAGGTCGTACAACATAAGGGTGTCCTGCTCGCAGGTGAACTTCGCTGGCGCTGCTGCTGCTAATGCCATCGTCAACTGTACGCACGGCTGATTCACGCATCAATAGATCTCTATGGCTGCAGTATGCATTGATCAAGTGGGACGTCTTACTTCCATTCGTGCCAGCACCCATCTGTGCTTCATACAAGTACTGTAGTTTTTATGCACTCTCCTTTTTGGAACAAGCAAAAAAGTATGTGTGTTGTGTTTGTTATCGCTGTTCGTCTTGTAACTTTTTATGTTTGATCCGTGCGTACCATTATTACACGCAGCCCCTGTTCATATATGTGCTGCACTCAATAATATTTATTTCAAAAAAGTATTTATTCCTTTGTGAAAAACACAACTTTTTAGTTATATACTAGCAAACATGTCCGTGCATTGCAACGGGAAAAAAATACCACACCCATCTCATGGCGCAACCACCATTTGCATGCAAATCCACGCGGCATGAAAATCTCACTATTATCAGCTTCGATTAAGAAGATCGATAAGACCTTTCCCTCTAGTTTAACTCCCATGCCACAAATCGGTGTCTCTTGATAAGACCTTTCCCCTCAGTTTAATTTAACTACCAAGCCAATCGGGCGTCGTCCTGTGTCTTACTCCTAAATCCCAGGATTAATGAGTCATGTTTGCTCATCGCACGAGCTTTCCTTTATTTCCTTGATGCCTCTATGCTCATTAGTTCCCGAGGCGGTTTACTGGTTCCCATAGAACTCAAGGACATATATAAACTGGTGTGATGGGATATAACAAAGTGACGTGGGACTAATTACTGGGTTAACAAACTGGTGATAGAATCCCTGCTAGGCTGCTCCGCCTGGGCCTTGGGGCCGAACACTGCTTTGGCACCTCTAGAAGGTCATGAAGGAGAGCATAATCACCCCCGCCGCTGAGCACAGGGTGTTGTACGTGGGCGCTCCATGTCGCAATCTGCATATATACTTGAGAATCAATAGAAACTAGGACTAATCGTCTGTACACCTTCAATCTCGTTTTACTCTAACACGTTATCAGGATGCTCATCGCTGAGCGACTCGGCGAACGGACAAAACAAGGGAACGATTCCAAGACGATGGAGTCACACAACGTCTTATAGCGCGGTGACGTGAATGCCAAACGACTGCTACCACGCAGACCAAGATGGGGCAGCGGCGAAAGTGGATGGCCCATGACAGGACGCGGCTGCGCGATGCGACGACTGGGCGTTGTCAGTCTGCGCACGGCTGCAAGGCTGGCTGCGGTAGAGCACCGACGGCAAAGATGGACGAATCCCTTGAACCAATCCATGCTATGCAATCGGCCACCGCTGCGTTCACTGCAAAACGGCGTGCAGAAGGGAAATTAATCAAGAAACTGCCCAATTCATCATGTCTTCTTGTGATCAATTAATGATCTAACGATTGATTGGGTTTTTTCCTGCACGTCTATGCACTCACAAGGACCAAGAATGCTAATCCAATGATCAACCGAAGGAAATTGTTGAATCAAGAAAATCGAAGGCCTAGAAATTAGAAAGGGGCACATGTGAATCATAGGATACCGAGCCATTCTTCACATTCAAAAGACAGAAATTTAAGTGGGGTTCATTAATCATATGGTGTACAAGCCATCAGACGAGAATATTGGCATCGCTCTGTCTTTGGTCTTTATCTTTTACCTTTTTCTTTACCAAATAATTAGAGTAAAAGAAGAAACAATAGTTTCTTTCAATTTGTGGCAACAAAAAATAAGTCCAAAGCCGAAAGGACATAATTCTGCATCATCTTGCAATGAGAGTTCCAAAAGAGAGGAGCTAAGAATAGTTTCTTTTGATTTGCAGCAAACAAATAAAATAAAGTGCAATGAGTTCCAAAAGAGAGGAACTAAGAATAGTTTCTTTTGATTTGCAGCAGAAAAATAAAATAAAGTTCAAAGCCGAAAGGACAGAATTATGCATCATCTGCAATGAGAGTTCCAAAAGAGAGGAACTAAGAATAGTTTCTTTCGATTTGTAGCAAAAAATATATCAAAGCTGAAAGGACAGAATTCTGCATCATCTGCAATGAGAGTTCCAAAAGAGAGGAACTAAGAATAGTTTCTTTCGATTTGTAGAAAAAAAGAGTTCAAAGCCGAAAGGACA